TTCCTGCTCTTTATTCGCTACTGTTTCTGCTATTTAAGGTTTTTGTTCTGTTTCCAATGTAACAGCACCTTACCATCTCCTCTCTTATGTAAGGTTAAAATCAGGTTCCTTACAAATCTTTAGACTAAATCCCTTAATGACATTGAGACTAAACATTTACTTTTATGAACAGAGGTTGCTTCAGCAGTGTGACTTGTACCACATTATATAAGTTAACATCTCCAGCTTTCCCACAGCTAATAGTTTCAGAATACTTTCCACAGTATCTCATGAATAATTTTCCAGGGTAGAAACATGTGATGCTTTCTGTGATTGCTGACCAGTAGAGGGAGATGGGATACTGCAGTCAAACAAAAATCCAACAGCAGAACCTTTCACAGCATGCCATTAGAACACAACGCAACTCCATTTTTAACTCCTTCTTCCATTGATTGCTACTACCTCATACTAAGGGAGGCAAAAAGTGAGCCCTTAGACATTCTGTTTTAGCTCTAGCATTATTCAAAAACTGAATTCAAATCTTTGGAGAACTTTTTCAAGGCAATAGGCTTGTTTTTTTGTTTTGTTTTAAAATTATGAGAAACACTCGTGTGTAGGGGTGAAGCAGCCCTAGGAAAGACAAGAATCTGCAAAATCTTCTCAGTTTGAGAGGATTCATGGACACCCAATGTTTTGCAAAGCTGCATACTACGCTTTCAAAATAAGAACCGACAAAATCCTGAAGTATTGGCAAATAACTAATTTATATATTAAAAATTAAAACACAAAGAACATTTTAGAAGCTTTTCTCTGACTACTCTTATTAGGTACATTCTCCACCATGTACTTATTCGGCTGTGTCTTTTTTTGTTTTTTAAAAAAAAGCTATTCTACATTTACATTCCAGACACATGCAGGTGCGCCAGCCACACTGATCAAGCTGAAGAAATATAATGTGCTTTGAAGATACTGAAGGTGGAACACTAACACAAATTTCTAGGTAAGGAACTACAAAGGGCAATACTAGATTTAGAAGATCTCCTAGCAGTGTAGCCCAGGAAGAGCATTCACATCAACCCGTTTAATGTTTTCTTAAATAACCCTGTAATTCAGTTTCGTGAAACCTGTAAAGTTGGAAGACAGTGTCAATGGCGGAAGAGGACTACTGCTTTGCAATAATATTATGACTATTGAGAGTAATGCAACTGGGATTAAATGTAATAGTGCAGACTACAAAAAAATGCAGTTTGAAGAGAAAGAACAAAAGCTCCTCACCAGTAATCCAGGTTCAAGATACAGTCTACATCTGTCATATACTGGAGTCTGAATGAATAACTACAGTCTCCCCTTCTACCACCACAGCTTTCAAATACCTGGAGAAGCAGACTGAGAATATTACCCCATGATCATAGACCAAGGCATGCCTTGTTCTTCTCCATTTGTAATCCATGACCATCACTACGGATCCCAAATTGGACAGGGATTTTGGTGAAGTGTTGGTGAAAGTTTTTCATCACCATTAAGTTACCTGGTTTAGTTTATGGTGAAAATTCATAAGGTTCAGTCACTCAACATGCTGCTTTCTCCAACTATTACCTCACACTGGCTCACCAATCGGAGATGAAACTCTATAACTTCTTTACACTAATAGCATCATCTCAAGACAGCTCCAGCAATGAAAACTGGTACTTGGCATGATTTTATGTAATTAATCAAGAGATTGGGGGAATCCAAAGGGAATGGGTGACCTGCCCCAATGGCCTCAAGATTAGCAGGATCATGGAATAAAGAAAATTCATCTTTCCAATTACAACAGTGATGGAACTCAAGCCTTTGAGTCAGGTGACCACTGACAGCTGAGAACTCATCAGATTGTGGGTCACGCCAACAACCTGTTGGAAGTTGGTAGCTGCAGCTTATCTCATAGTGTGAGCAACCATAAGGAAGCTAGCAGTCTTTGAGAAGAGCTGAAAGAGTGACAGTAAACACTACCATCCCAAATTTAACCTTTCAGGTCAAAGCAAGCAGAAGAAAGGAAAAACTGAACAACTTTTTCCCTCCAAGACAGTGAAAAAGTCAACATAATCAACCTCTTAAAGAAGCAAGCTTCTGAGACACAGAGAAAGAAATCTCTGAAAAGCAATGTGGCAAGAACTGTTCATTAGTATTATATCGAAATGTAACAGATACTCTTCAGTAGAGCTTACAGCGCTTGCACAATTAGAGTCTGTGTGACTGGGGAAATGCAAAAGCAGATGCAGTTGAAAGACTGTATCAAAACAGTCAAGAAGTGGAATATACAAAGAAAATCAACAATGAGAACATTTGAACTCTGTACGACTGACATCTGCGTGCTTGAATGCTCTTCCTCTAAGACTATGGGCTACCTTTTTCCATCTCTAATCACAAATCGGGTGTCTTTTCACTACAAAATCCAGTGTCCAGTAAAGCACATGGAAGAATCCTAGTGAAATAAAAGCGACTGTTCCATTGATACCAAGGTGCTTAAGGACGACAGGTTTCCAGAAGTCTGGCTTTCTGGGTGAAGAAGGAAATAATTTGACACGAGACACTGGTGACCAACTGTTAAATTCAGTGTTCCCTTCTCAGCTGCCAGACCAGTTAGCAGCAGGAGGTCCCTTGGCACACGAACAGACTCTTAACCACAGCCCTGCTGAAGTATTAACACAATACTAGTACTGGACAGTATACTTACCTTTAAGGACACAGCCAAGGTAATCAACACATTGCAGCCTCACTGTGCTCAAAGTCTAAATAAAATCAAGAGATGAAGGAGGCTCCCTCACCAGTGAGATGCCTGGATAATCAAAAACATCCATGGCTGAAGCTACTTGTTGCTTTTTTTGTGCTGAGCACTAACTGAAGCTCCAGTGCTTTAGCCATGCTGCACAACTCCAGAAGGATGCTGTTGGTCATTGTACAAATAAACTAATACGTGTGCAGTGCTCTTGATCCACCCCAATACTTTGCCTTGTTGTGCAATGCAGACTTTCCACCTTAGAGATCATAGCACTCAACCTAGCATTACATACAATTATCCGATATGCAAAATGGTTCTGTGAACATTTTGGGACTAAGTATCTATTACATGGTTGCCTCTGACTGTGGAAAGCTGAAGTCTAATACAGCAGTACGTTCCAGACCAAAATTACCTAATAGGCTTAGTTAAGCCAGAATTGAAGCATCTTTAAAAGGAAAAACACACCGAAACAAACAAACAAAAAACCTAAAGCAAGCCAAAAAACCACCTATTTCAAAATTCAGAAAACAAAGCCACAGCTTTCTACCATGCTGCAGAGCAGATTAGTCTGTTTCTTTAGCAGGCAGCTAATGTCTTCTTTTGGCAAACAAACTCTTCAGACAGAGCCAAAAGTCTAGCAGATGATTTACTGATTAAAAGCAAAATGAAAAACTGAAAACAAAAATTTTCTGGAGAATGTAATAACGTGCATAATTAAGCCATCCATTTTAGTCCTAAATTGTCTTACCAATACAGTGGGAACAGGCTCAAAGCACCTGAATGCTCTTTAGCTATTGCACAGGGATCTTTATACAAAATGTCTTAAAGCAAATTCTGATAGCCATAAAGAAGCCAATATGAGTTTGGGCTTGTCTGAAAGTTTTTTACACAGCAATTCCAACTGCAAACCAAAATTACATCCTCTCTTTCTGTTCTGCTAAGAAGTCTCCCCCCAGCTCCTCCTCTAGTAAACATAAAAGATACAGTTGAAACAATATGGTTTTGTACAGTCAAAGTACAGCATTGTAGGAGAATTTCTCTTCGCAGATCACATTTTATTTAACACTCAGGAAAAAAAAAAACAAACCGCAAGCAAAGGCAGACTGAAAGTAGAATACTCACTTGTAGCGTAGTGTCGAAAACAACAAGCTTAGAGCTTGTTGGAACAATGTCGTAACACTTGTGTGACCTCATGAATCGCACATAAATGTCACTTTCCGATTCTTCAAGTGCTGTAAGTAAAAACATGATGTTGTTTTATTTAAGTAATCTTAAAAAAAAAAAAAGTAAAAAACACGCCAAATCAACTGAACCCCACTGCAGGAGGCCAGCCCTAAGGAAAAACTCAAATTCACACTTTCAGATCTGGATGGACAGTCATAGTTTTGCCCTTTGCATTTCAGACTCATCTTTCCTTTCAAATTAAGCAGAACGAAGACAAAATGCATTGTTGTTCCTTGATGATTAAGCACTTCTGGACTGAAGAGTTATATTTAAAAAAAAATCTTGGTTTTCCTAACAGCAAACTACTGGAATATGCATCTGAACTCTAGTTACCTTCAAAGGAAGCCAGTTTGAAACTTTAGCAGCGCTATGCTTGACTAACTCAAGCTCCTTAAATCAGTATTTCTCCAATCTCATCTCTGTCCAGTCTGCTTTTCACATAGTAATTTTGTATTTCCTAAAGAGGCAGCAGGCAAGTTACAGAAGAAGTTCCATTCTCTTCAGGGTATTTTACATACAGCATCACAAATCCAACGCTTTATTTATAAATAACAGGAACCACCTGGGCTGGTTTTAGTGCAGGATGTCTGTAGCAAGGACATGCAATCCAGTCCACATTTACTTAAATTTACTTTGCATATGTCAGAGTCTAGATGCATATGCATACAAACTTCAGGTATGTAAACTTTTCTAAGCAGTTTGGCCTTCCATTCTTTACAGCAGGTAACTAGAACTTGGTCGAGATTAAGCCCTCCATCAGACACACATCCTTTAAACCCTGTAATAACGTGCACAGACTTGGTCATATGTTAAACTTGGGGCGGGAAAGAATGACATAAAAACCCTTGAAACACCTACTAGTCACTGAAGAACTTCATATTAGGAAGCTAAAAACCTAAAACTCCTTGTTTGCTAAGTTTGCTCAAAATCAGCCATTTAGCACTGGACAAATTATTTGTCACTTCCACAGAGTGGCTCAGCATAGCTTCTTTCGTCCAGCTCTACAGACTCAAAGCTGGACCTCCCTGCAAGTGGCTACTCCAGGATACAGGCATTCTCTTCTACACCTAAGAGTTGGAGGTGAAGGACTTGCTTATTACTCTTAAAAAAAAAAAAAAAAAAAAAAGCCTTTTCCCCACTGAAACACAAGCAACATGAAATAGAAGTTCCATAGGAATACAGAAGAGTCCAACTGGGGCAAAGCAGAAGAAAAAATAAAATAGTTTGTTGGATTCATGCTTATCTAAAGATCAGGAACAGAAGTGAAACTAGCAGGGTCTAGGAGCAATTGATAAAAGATTAGGAAACCATGGGAACAAACTGATAGGCAGACTTGGACAATGCCAGTCGGAAGCAACATTGATGAGATGACCCCAAAGGGGAACTGGTACTGACTCACCAAGGGCACATACAGAAGAGGTTAAAAAGGGTACTTTAGGACAGAAAAATCTTTATATAACTCCATAATATACCAACATCTTATCATCCTCTAACTTCTGCAAAAGCACAAAAAGCTACTGTCTGTATGAAATTTAAAAAACCAAAAAAAACCCCCAAAACTCACTATGTTGCAAAGTCATTAAATTAAATATACAAACTAGAAGTGGGGAGGGGACCAAAGATTAAGCATCAAAAACAATATTATAAGAACATTTAGATGACATATCAAGAACTCCAGTCTTTAGGAAGTTAAGATTACTTCTACAACCATAAATGGAGTTCCTCTGTGCAGTATCAGAGTCTTTTTTTACTTTAATCTCAACTTTTTCCATGGGACAGTACACAGCGAGAACTGCACTTGAAATGGTAAGTCAAATCACCAGTAAATAAGGCTGGCTACTAACATGACAGTGCAGTGTCTCTCTAATGGTTACTGGTCAAGTCTTTCCCCAGCATTACAAAAAACTACAAGTCAGCCTACAGAACAGAATAAAACCAAATTCTTCCAGTTTCAGTCCCCCACCTCTTTCATTAGATACATTCCAATTGCTGCAGCAAGCAGGACAGTGGTCCAACAGTTCTGAATCACCTGCAGATCAAGTCTATCCCCCACGCTCACCGGAACAGAGGTTCTCCAAAACCTTCACCAAGTACCCAGAAACTACAGACATATGTACCCAAGGAAGTTACTGTTCTAATTCTGAATCTGTACTTAACCTATTGAGCCTTAACAATGTGACTTTATATACAATTAAGTATACTACAGGTAGAAACAAGCATAGGAACACCTCAGGTAGTTGATAAGCTACAAAACCAACTATTTTTAGCTGAAAAAAATTTACTCTTAGCAGAGCACATCATTGCTCAATACAGCCTCGCCAACTTACCAACAATTATGCAAGTTTAACATATCACAACAGCAAGCATAGTAACTGTGAAGCAGGGCGTATTGCCAGATTTAACCAGCTAAGGCTGTTAATGGCAGCCACACTTGAGAACTCTGTGTGGACGAGCACAGTGAAGGTGTGCCTACAAACCTTCCTTTCACTTACCATACTCCCACTCTCCAAATACAATTTCAACTGGACCTCCACAATCCTCACCCACCTGGGGTGCATAGGGTTGGGTAGGCACTATCTCACCCTATGTCATCTTCCAACTCAGAGGAGGCACCACAGAGCAACGGCTTCCCAAACTGACACTGGAAAGTTACAATTAAAGATATTCAGAAGCAGGAGATAGCTATCCGTGAGCACCATTTAACACCCATATAAATAGCTCGGAATCTCTAGCAGGATCTGAACAAGGATGCAATTGTCCAGCTGGAACTGAGGTTTATTTCTACAGAAGATCCTTACGCTATAAATAAGTATAATGCATCGTTTTAGTTAATAACTAAACATGCAAAACATCAGCAGCACTGATCTAACTCATATGTCCTAAATGACTTCATCAAATGTCTGTTGGAAAGGATATTTAAGATCTTCTAACACCTCCAACTACTTAGGACTACTAAACAGATGCCATAGCCTAATTCTTCATACACATGTGCATCACGCATATACAGCTGCTCAAAGAAGAAAAGGTCTCTCAAGCTGAAGGCTTAGTATATCTCAGGGGTGCACTCACACCAATCTTTCCTGCACAGCACAAGTGGTCAGGGCAAGGTCTTCTTTACAGCTCCTCCCACCTTCCACAGGACAAACTTACTGTTTAGGTTGTAACCAACCACCACTGTGCTGCAAATACCAGCTTTGTTACCTATTTATTTTCTAGTTTCAGTCTTGTTTTTCCAATAAATGCTCATCCTTTCCTGCTACTATAAAGCTTCTGCAGTCTTATCCAGTACATGCAAAGCAGTACTCCCTTTGGATGGACAAGAGAGGCCTTTCAGCTTGACTTCAAACCTCACTCAGTCTCTGCCTGTCATCTCTGATCTGCATAGGAGATCCAGCATGCAGGAGCTACGAATATATACAGGCCATTATTTCACCATAAAGTCAGTAACATATTCAGATGCTGATATGACAATGGTGTACTACATGATCAAGAGGTGACATAAAATCTCTGCTCCTGCTTGAGGAAGTGACTGAGGTATCCAAAATCCATTTTGCGTACGAAGCCTCATTTGCAGAAGCCCCAGTTGCACTAATTTAATGCTTAAGCTGTGTCATGCTAGTGGGCCACAGAGGAGAAGGACCACACGCTACAGCTCAGTTTCTTCGTTTAAAGAGTTCCTAAGCAAGTCCCCTTCCTCTTTGGAAGCTGAACTGAGTCACAACCGTGCTAAGCACTATCTGTCCTTGACATTCCTGTCAACTGTATTCCTTCCCCCTTGGTCAGATGCCTAATGTATGCCTTTCTCATATTGCTTCTGCAATGACTCATGCAAGAGTGGCAAGACGGAAAGGCACTAGACAATTATGACTGCCCTGCCACATCAAAGGCAGTTGTAGTTAAGTCTTATGGAGTACATTTGCTGGACCTTAGCTTAGGTCTAGACCAAGACTTAGGACACTGCCTCCAGCCAAACCTCAGCCTTCCACAGCTCATGAGCTGGAAGTTAGTTGGCTCACAGACAAAGCAGATTCCCAGCAGGAGGCGTCTTAATCTAGAGCAGGATCAGGGAAGGAGAAGAGTCCACCAGTACGTAGTTGAACGTGTATTTCCACATAGGTGTTCATTCCAGAAAGCGTGTATCTAAGATTTATCTGAAAGTTACTTTGCTAGTGGACATTCTCCATATGCACCCCCTCTCCCAAAGTCCTAGGTGAAGGCAAAAAAAAATCCCAATCCCCAGTGCTGTTTTCTGCAATTTTTAATAATGTGCAAACAAAATTCACCTGAAAGGCTACAAGATTTTTTGACAGTTTAACACCCGAAGCTGCAAGCCTCATCATACAGCCTTTTACAGAGTAAATTTTCCCTATGCATCAGCATTTTATTTATTCCTACAGGTAGAGATCCTTTAAAGAGTGGAAGATCAATCTATTTGCATTTCTGCCACTCCACTCCCCAAACTTTTTTGAAGAGCTACCGGAGAGAGTCCAGAGGAGGGCTACAAGGATGGTGAGGGGACTGGAGCATCTCCCCTACGAGGAGAGGTTGAGGGAACTGGGCTTGTTCAGCCTGAAGAAGAGAAGGCTGTGAGGGGACCTTATAAATGCCTACAAATATCTGAAGGGTGGGTGTCAGGAGGATGGGGCCAAGCTCTTTTCAGTGGTGCCCAGTGACAGGACAAGGGGCAATGGGCACAAACTGAGGCACAGGAAGTTCCGTCTGAACATGAGGAAGAACTTCTTCCCTCTGAGGGTGACGGAGCACTGGAACAGGCTGCCCAGGGAGGTTGTGGAGTCTCCTTCTCTGGAGATATTCAAGACCCACCTGGACAAGGTCCTCTGCAGCCTGCTGTAGGTGACCCTGCTTCGGCAGGGGGGTTGGACTAGATGACCCACAGAGGTCCCTCCCAACCCCTACTATTCTGTGATTCTGTGAACTTAGTCACTTAAACACAAATTATATTTACTCCCTTCCTTTCCCCCACCCTTCACTGTAACGAGACATGCTTTAAC